GCGGGGCTGCGGGCCCGCCCGCTGACGTCAGGGGAAACTGACACCGATTTAAAGGGCCAGGTTTCGGATTTGCTCTTAAAGGGGCCGCAGGGGCCAGCTGGAGGGGAAAGCCCGGCAACAGGGCTCCTCCGCTACCGCCTCCGGTTTGGTTATCCCGCGGGTCTCCGGAAGCACGTTCCGAAGTAGGCGGATCTCCAAGCGTTGGGTTCTAGTTGACAAACTCCGCTTGCTCAAACTTTTGGGTCCCCTATCCCCGCCCTCACCCCCACCCCTATTACCACGAACATCCTCCATCCCCTGTCCCAAGTTTCCTCCTGGGAGCTTCGAAAAAGAAAAATCTCAGGGAACTGGGAAACAGGACGGTGGCCCCGCCGGCAGAGGGAAAGCCGAGGCAGAACAGAAGGGACCCCCATGTCTCTCAATCCCCACTCGCAGGGGCCACTCAACTGTAATGGCGCCTTCTGAGCTTGCCAGGCCATCTCTCTCCTTCACTGCGGAGGCAGTTACAAGACTTTCCTACAAAACATTTTGGCACTGTGTGTCAAGACTTAAAGAGCTTTATACTCTTTGATCCAGTAATTTCAGTCCTGGGACTCTATCCTAAAGAAATAAGTACAAATTTAAAAAGTGCAGAATTGCTTTTCATTATCACTGTGATATTAACAACGCAAAGTATAAAGAAAATAATCTGGGGGACCAGCAGTTAGCGTAATGGCTATGTCGCTGGACTCCCATGTAGTTGACTATGGCTCGCGTCCCGCACCCCGGTGGCTTAAACTCATGCAGGGCGCGTGTGCGTGCGTGCCCAAGATCCCGAGAGGAGAATGGAGGAGAAGGGATTGTGGCGTGGCCATCTCCCCTGGGGGGTGATTTCTTGCTTTCTGTCTCTCTGTCTCTCTCTGTCTCTCTGGTGAGCACAGGTGCCCTGTAGCAAAAACCTCTCCCAAAAAAAAGAAAGAAAGAAAATAATCTGGATGTCCATAATGAGGAAGTGGTTAAATGGATTATTATCACGAAGGCATGGAAGATTCAGAAAATGACTATATAAACAATATATATTCCAAATACATAGATATGCATTTAAATTTTTTGAGAGATTTTTGCTAGAGGGCATGTGCACAGGAAGCGAGAAATCACCTCCACCCTCTGGCGGGGGTGGGATGGGTGGGTGGGGTGGAGGTGGGGGCAATGACAACTCCACAATCCCATCTCTTGGGATTTTGGGCATGCATGCACACAAGCGGGGGTGGGGGGTGGGGGGTGAGTTTCATGTCGCTAGGTCCGGAATTCAACCAGGTTGGCCATGTGAGAGTCCAGCACCTTGACCACTGTGCCACCTGCTAGTCCCCAAATTTCTTTAAATTACAGGTGATTTTTCAAACAACATGTATGGGCCCAGCAGGTGGCATGGCAGTTAAAGCGCTGGACTCCCACTGACCAACTGCCTCACAAGTCTCAGGCCTGGAGGCTTACTTTCTCACTCTCTCTGTATCTCTGGTGAGTGCATGTGCTCTGCAGCAAATTTTTGTTAAATGATTTACTTTATGTAACTTTATTTATATATTTATTTTAATTTGGCCAGAGAGGGACAGAGTGACAGATAGAGGGAAAGTGAGAAAGTGAGCCACCAGGTCAGGGACTTGAGCCCGGGTCAGCCATGTGGGAGTCCAGTGCTTCTAGCCACCATGCTACCTGCTGCACCCACCCTTGGCCAATTTTTAAAAAAATAATGATAAATAAAATTAAATAAATAATTCTTTAAAAAACGTATGCCAATTGCCTCTAATCCGAAAGTATGGAAAAGTAGCAATAGAAGAAAGATCACTAGATTTTGGATGACATTTAAATTTTGTAATACTTTTTAAAAACTTAAAATTTTTCTAGTATGTACATGCATTTCTTCTGTGAGATTAACTAGATACACTTAAAGGAAAAGAAATGTGGTCCCCCTGAAGTTGTCAGACATTCAGATGACGCCATAAAGGCCCGCGCCTGGCCAGAGTCCTCTCCGCCAGCCTCATTGCAAGAGCCCCAGCCCTGGCTTTGCCTTACTCCCTGAAATATTGTTCCAGTGAGGACTATTTTACCTTATGGCCAGTTAGGGCTATGAATTTTGTCTTGCAATAATTTTTTTCTTCTTTTTCCTTTTTTTTATATTATTTTTATTGAACTTTATTTATTTATTTTAATTTGACTAGAGAGGAACAGAGTGAGAGAGAGAAAGAAAGGACAAGTGAGAAAGCAAGCTGCCAGGTATGGGACTCGAACCACAGTCATGTGGGAGTCCAGCACCATTAACCACCACGCCACCTGCTGGCCCCTGCAATACATTTTTTGAGAGTTTTTTTTTTTTTTTGCTATAGGGTGCATGCGCTTGCCAGAGAGACACAGAGACAGAAAGTAAGAAATCACCCCCCTCAGGGGGGGTATGGCCACACCACAATCCCTCCTCCTCCATTCTCCTCTCAGGATCTTGGGCATGCACGGACACACGCCCAGTGTGAGTTTAAGCCACTGGGTCGGGGACTCGAACCGTGGTCTACTACATGGGAGTCCAGCGATGTAGCCATTACACCAACTGCTAGTTCCAGTCTTGCAATAAATGTTTAATGAGTACCTACTTACTATGTACCAGGTACTGTTCTAGTTATACTGAGTAAAGGGTGAGGGGAAGAATTAGAGCTGACCCCTGTCCAAGCTTAGCATACTTGACTGGAGAGCCTTAGAAAGTCAGCTGAGGGATCAGCAGATGGCATAATGGTTACATCGCTGGACTCCCACATAGTTAACCGTGGTTTGAGTCCTAGACCAGGAGGCTTAAAACTCATGGTGAGGGGCTCGCAGGTGGCATGGTGGGTAAGGGCATGGACTCCCAGATGGCCAGCCACAGTTCAAGTCCTGGATCTGGTAGCTTGCTTTCTCATTTTCCTTCTCTCTCTCTCTGTCCCTCTCTGGTCAGATTAAATAAATAAATACAGTTAAATACAATAACTTAGAGGGAAAGTGAGAAAGCAAGCCGCCAGCTCTGGGACTTGAACCGTGGCTGGCCACGTGGGAGTCCAGTGCCCATGGTAGCATGCCACTTGCTGGCCCCAAATAAAATAATTCTTAAAAACAAACAAACAAACAAACAAAAATCCATGCTGTGCATGTGTGCATGAGTGCTCAAAGTCCAGAGAGAATGGAGGAGAAAGGATTGTAGCATGGACATCCCCTAGGGGTGGGGAGGTGGGGGGATCTCTCACTTTCTGTCTCTCTGGCACAGTTAAATACAATAACTTAGAGGGAAAGTGAGAAAGCAAGCCGCCAGCTCTGGGACTTGAACCGTGGCTGGCCACGTGGGAGTCCAGTGCCCATGGTAGCATGCCACTTGCTGGCCCCAAATAAAATAATTCTTAAAAACAAACAAACAAACAAACAAAAATCCATGCTGTGCATGTGTGCATGAGTGCTCAAAGTCCAGAGAGAATGGAGGAGAAAGGATTGTAGCATGGACATCCCCTAGGGGTGGGGAGGTGGGGGGATCTCTCACTTTCTGTCTCTCTGGCAAGTGCATGTGCCCTACAGCAAAAATCTCTATTAGAAAAGAAAAAGGGAGGGAGGGAGGGAGGGAGGGAGGGCGGAAGGAAGGAAGAAAGGGAGGAAAAGGAAGGAAGGAAGGAAGGAAGGAAAGGAGGGAGGGAAAGTCAGCTGGGAGTTAGCCTGTGGTGTGGTGGTTAAGGTGGCTGGGTCCCACATGGTCAACAGGGCGATTCAAGTCCCAGACCCTACAGCTTGAAAAACATGCCAGGGGAAAAAAAAAAAAAGAAAAACATGCCAAGTATGTGTGCACATGTGCCCAAAATTCTGAGAGGAGGATGTAAGAGAAGGGATTGTGGAGTGGCCATTTCCCCTGGGAGTGTTTTCTCACTCCCTGATCCTCTCTCCAGGAAAAGTATGTGTCCCATAACAAAAATAAGAGAAAAAAAAGTCATCTGGAAGATATATCCAGGTCTCCTTGGTCATCTTACACAGATGAGTAAAGCGAAGCTGAGAAGATCCAGCTCACTCACAGCTCACACAGTCAAGCCTCCCGTGCCGGGCCCCGGACTCTTCCCAGCACATCTAGACAAAGCTGGGTCAGAGAACCCTCAGGGACAGCAAGAGGCATCTCCATCAACGTCTTTGGTGCAGGCAGACACCCAACTTGGAGCATCGGTGTAGGACTTCCATATCCTAGCTGGACTTCTCTGTCTCTCAGGGTGACCCTGCCCATCTTGCCAGTGAATACTCAGATTCCAAAACACACCCCACCCTGAGCTGGGGCTCCTCACTGGCAGCCTGGTGTAACTTAAGTGGCCAACCACGTGCCAGGACTTTCCCGAGGATCGCGGTCTCTGCTCTCGGCTGGTACGTGCTATGACTATGCTGGATGAACCCAGGCTGGCTGCTGGTGGGGAGCAGCTTCCCAAGGTGGCCTCTTGGGTTTGGGAGCAAGCTATGACCCTAGGCCCATGTAAAATGTATAAGATATGCATGTATAAGTGTATTTATGTGTCTATACATAAGCATGTTCTGTGTTGTTTTTGGTTTTAAGTTTTGCCTTAGGGTATGTGTGCTCATCGGAGAGAGACAGAGAGAGGGAAAGTGAGAAATCTCCCGGGGGGATGG